AGAGATGGGGTTTTGCTATGTTGGCCAGGCTGGTCTCGAACTCCTGACCTCAGGTGATCCACCCACTTCAGCCTCCCAAAGTGCTGGGATTACAGGCGATATTTGAATATTTTTAGGATTCCATTTTATTTCATTTCTGGCATATAAGCTAAAATGCTTTATTTTGTCACTTTGATGGCTGTTTTAGGGTTTATAAACTTACATCTTTAACTTATCACAGTATACCTTCAAGTAACGTGATACCATTTTACATGCATCATAATAAGAACCTTATAATATCATACTTCCTTTTATGATAGTCTTCCAATTCATGAACATGGCGTGTCTTTATACTTATTGATGACTTCTTTAATTTCTTTTAGCAATGCTTTGTAGTTTTCATTGTACAAGTTTTTCACCTCCTTAATTTATCCTTTTCTGGCATTTATACTATTACTGTCATACATAATTTACTTATACATATATTATAAACTCTACAACAGATGAGTATTATTTGTATTTAAAGAGTCAATCTTTAAAAGATGCTTAATTTAGGAGAAATTTTTTACATATAGTTACCTATGTAGTTATCATTTTTGGTGCAGTTATTCCTTTGAGAAGATCCACATTTCCATCTGATATTTTCCTTCTGCCTAAAGAACTTCCTTCAACAATTCTTATGGGGCAGGTGTAGTGTAGCATTTGTATGTCTGAAAATGTATTTTACCTTCATTTTTAAAAGATATTTTTGCTGGGTATGAGATTTTAGGTTAACAATTTTATTCTTTTAGTACTTTAAATATGTTGCTTCACTTGCATGAATGACAGGAGGCAGAGAATTTACTGTCATTCTTAACTTTGTTCCCATGTATGTAACATGTCTATTTTTCCTAAGGGCTTTTAAAATTTTTTTCTGTATCGGTGGTCTTGAGCAATTTGATTATGATGTGACTTGATGCCATTTTTTTTTCATGTTTCTAGTACTTGGAGTTTATTGACATTCTTGGATTTATAGTTTTCATCAAGTTTGGAAACTTTTCTATTATTTCTTCAGATATTTTTTCTGTCACCCCTATCTCTTCTCCTTTTGGTACTCTAATTGCCCATATATTAGCCAACCTGAAGTAGTCCCAGAGTTCACTGATGCTCTGTTCCTCTTTTCTGAATTCTATTTTTCCTTTTTATATTTCACTTTGGAGAGTTTCTGCTGTAATATCTTCAAGTTCACTTGTTTTTCTCTTCTGCAATGTCTAATCTGCCATTAATCCCATCCAGTATATTTTTCATCTCAGATCTTGTCATTTTCATCTCAAGAAGTTAGATTTGGGTGTCTTTTTAACATCTTCCATGCTTCTACTTAACTTTATGAATATATGGAATATGGTTTTAGTAATTTTTAATATCTTTGTTTCCATATTCTAAAATATGTGCCAGTTTTGAATTGCTTTCAATTGAGTGATTATTCTCCTCATTATGGGGAATAATGTTAATATCTTTTGCTTCTGTGCAAGCCTGGTAATCTTTGACTAAATGCTAGACATCTTGAATTGTACCTTGTTGGGTGCTGGATATTTTTATATTCCCATACTTTGTGCTAGGATACAGTTAAGTTATTTAGAAACAGATTAATCATTTCAGTATAGATGTTATAATTTATTAGATCCAGAGCAGGACACAGTCTAGGGTTAACTATTCCCCCAATACTGAGGGGAAAGCTTCCTAAGTATTCTATTTAATGCCTCCTGGATTATGAGTTTTTAAAGTATGCCTAGTGGGAACAGTCACTGTTCTTGGTCCTGAATGAATGTTGGGCACTGTTCTTTTTCATTCTCTTGGAAGAGTCTTTCCTCAACCTCAGATTGCTTCCTCAAATGTGTGTGCTGATCACTCGTATGCTGCATCCTTATGGAGTCGCTCCTGCAGAGCTCCATAGTCTTCTGTCTGTGTAGTTCTCTCCTCTCTGGTACTCTGTCCTGCAGACCATCATCACTTGGTCTTGCTGGACTCTTTTTTTTTTTTTTTTCCTAGACAAAGTCTCACTCTGTTGCCCAGTGAGATCTCGGTTGACTGCAACCTCTGCCTCCTGGGTTCAAGAGATTCTCCCGCTTCAGCCTCCCGAGTAGCTGGGATTACAGGCACTCACCATTATGCCTGGCTAACGTTTGTACTTTTGGTAGAGATGGGGTTTCACCATGTTGGCCAGTCTGGTCTTGAACTCCTGACCTCAGGTGATCCACCTGCCTTGGCCTCCCAAAGTGCTGGGATTACAGGCTTGAGCCACCATGCCCAGCCATCTTGCTGGACTCTTAAGTCTATCCCCTTAACTCAATACGTCTAATAGGTTCTGCCTAGCATACCCCTCCCTGCAGCAAGACTAGGAAACTCCCAAGGCAGTAAGCTGGGGACATTTTATGACTTAATTCATTTATTTTCTATCTCTGAGTGATAACTATCTTTTGTTGTCTAAAGTTCCAGGTTTTGAAAAACATTATTTCATATATGTTATCTGGGTATTTTTGGTTGTTTCAAGTGAGAAGGTAAATCCAATCCCTGCTGCTTTATCTTGGCTAGAAACAAGTTATTTTCTCTTTACTGTTGTTTGGTTTCCTCTTGTATAAACATACTATAATGTATTTCTCCATTCTCTTATTGACAGACTTTTGGGTTATTTCCAGTTTGCAGTTATTGTAAATGAAACTACTATGAACATTGTTATCCATGTGTTTTGGTGGATATATGTCCATATTTATCTTGGCTAAATACCTAGGAATACCGTAGCCAGATCATAGCATGGGCAGTGTTTAGCTTTAAGATACAATGACAGTTTTTCAAAGTGGTTTACCATTTAAACTCCCACCAGCAGTGTATGAAAGTTCCAATTGCTCCCTATCCTCACCAACACTTGGTAGTGTTTTTCATTTCAGCCATTCTGATAGTGTCACACTGAGATTTTAATTTGTAGTTACCTAAGGACTAATGATTTTGATTGACTACCTTTTCATATGCTTAGCAGCTATTTGGATAGCCCCTCATATGAACTGTCTGTTTAAGCCATTTAAATTGAATGGCTTAACTTTTTCTTAATGATCTGTAGGGGTTCTTTATATATTCTGAATAAAAATCTCTTACCAAATATATTGTTGTAATGTCTTTACCCTGTCCATGGTTTATCTTTTCACTCTTTTTATGATGTGTTTCCATTTTTTAAACATCCTCAACTCAAATGTAGTACAATTCTTTTATGGTTACTGATTTTTTTTTTTTTTTTTTGGTTACTGACTTTTGTATCTTGTTTAAGAACCTTTGCCTAACTGAAATTATGAAGCTATTCTCATATGTTTTCCTCTAGGTGCATTACTGTTTTTTCCTTTCTTCCTATTGAATATAGAAGCAATAATTTGAGTTTTATGTAACCTGAAACCTTTCCCCTTCTATAGGCTTTCTGTTCAACATCCAACTGCAAGACATTGTCAAGGGGCAATCTAAAGTCACTAGTTGCACATCCTACTGCATTAATAGTGCCTGTAACCCATCACGAGGTCCTCCGCTGTTCGCATTGTGACTTGCTTATCAGTTAGCAAGACAAATATTTTACCTCACCCTTATTTCATTCTGCAGTATCTCTGTTCTCTTAGAGTTTCTATAAATAACAGTTTAAAAAAGCAGCTCCCCTTGGCTGGTGGCCGTGACAATGAGATTTTGGTTCCTCTAGTTTTCATTGTTTCTAAATTCTCTATAATAAACATAAGTATTTTTAATTTAAAAAGTTAACAAAAAAAGTTTGAGCAGTTGTGATTAAAGTGTATGTATGATTTTTCATATGTGGAACTAAAAAATACAATGTCTTACAATCTTTTCTGCGTACAGTATGTTGACCATACACATTATGACTTGTAAAACTACTTGTTCATGGAGTGTCTGCTGGGCAGACAGTAGAACAGTTCATTAATTTTAAAGCATTCTACAATGGACATATTTTCCCTTACTAATAACTTATTGTTTTATTAAAGTCTTGCTCAAGTTTTTTCCTACTCTTGGTTTCACTTTATCCACAAATGAAGCCACAGAAAGTTTTAAAAATATAGTCATTTGCCAAGTATCTTTAATTAATTGCCAAGAATGGACGTTGAACAGCTCTTTGTGATACTGTTCATATTGCAGGAACATGAGGACGACTTCTAGGCGGAAACATCTGGAAAGAGCTACTTAAACTCTGCACCAGGGTCCTCTTTTCCTGCACTGTTATGGGACAGTTTTTGCAGAGATGTATCAAGTCACCCAAGCAGCATGTGGAAATGCATAGTTTACTTGACAGCATTTACAAATTATGTCTTTTCCTCAGAATAACTTACACTGTAGAAATGCTTCCATATGCTAAAGTTGGACACACCATTGTGCTGAGAAAAAAAAGTGATGTCTTTTAGTAGCAGTTTTCATATACATACTAAACTACAGTGTATACAAATTAATAATGTTGTCTCTTAAGAATTTACCATAAATGGTTTTCTAATTCTTTATGCCCCAGCTGTTTGCTAAAGACTGCAAGTAGATTTTGCCATAAAACAATGGGTCAGCAAAAATTCAATTACGATTATCTAAGTAACGAAAACAATTTGATCACAATCGTAAGTCTCATGCTTTGATGAAAAAAATACTTTTTCCCAAAATCTTCTGTGTTTCTTAAAGTCCCAGGAGCAGAAAATTTCCAACTTCAAATTCCAAAACATGTATACTTGCAGTTAACGCCTTTCTATCCTGACTTTAGAGCAAGAGTTGGCAAACTGTGTCCCATGGGCCAAATCTGGCTCACCACCTGTTTTTGTAAATAAAGTTTTATTGGAACACAGCCATGCTTATTCATTTACACATTGTCTATGGCTGCCTTTGTGCTGCAAAAGCACAATTGAAGAATTGTGACAGACTTTATAGCACAGAAAGCCTAAAATGTTCACAACAACCCTTTATTTAAAAACATGTTGACTCCTGTTTTAATAAGCATTTCCTCATTTCACATCCTGCAGGAAAAAATGGATGTTACTACTGCTAGTACTGCTTCTGCTGCCAAGTTTTTGAGCACATAACCAGGATGACAGCCACAGTTCCACAAAGCTCTGATACAACATCAAAAAGAAACTCACCACCAAGGAAAGCAGTGAATCCTTTCTTGTCTTGAGTGAATGGCAATTATCTTGGTGGCCAAGATAACAAGTACACATATTTATTATATTCAAAAACTATTCTAAAATGTATGTTCTCTATATAAAGTAATCTCCACATGATTCTGAGGAAAAGGTTTAATCTATCTTACTACTACAAAGTTCTTAATACTACTTTGACAAGGAGGTACTATATCCCAAGATGTGATACTTTTTGCTCAGTTTTTAAATTAAACATTCTAGAGTAATTTTATAGAGTGATGTCAGCATGATGGCCAACCAGAGTTGCATGACACAAAAAGGTACCAAAACAATAAATAAACTATGCTTTGACTGGAATTACTAATGAAGTACACTGGAAAGTGCCGGGGGAGCAACAAAATTTCTATAGAGCATGGAAGCCCAGGATAGCACCGCAGAGAGGGAAATGAGATATCCTCCCTCTGCCATATGCTATCCCCCACCAGGATCAGCTCAGAGCCAGGGAAACTTCTTCTCACGGGGAAAAAGTAAGCTGGAATCCTTCATCCCATCACCTACACAGACAGGAACAGTCATTGCTATAAAAGGGTCTCCCGGTACTTACGGGACCAGAAACCTGCGTGGAGAGTTACTGGGAGTTCATGTGGCCGCACTGCCCCAGAACAGGAACCACTTTGGCATTCCAACCCCCATGACCTAAGCTGCTACAGCATGGTGCCATCTTGAAACTTGACCCATTGCTGGAGTGCATCTTGTGTTGGGGGTCAGTAGCCACCAATCCCCTCCATCTCTGAGGTTCCACCGTCATTCCACTACATTCATAAGGGTGCCTGCGGCACCAATACGCCAGCTGCCCAGAGCCTAGGCCCAAAGGAACAACCAAGACCACAACATCTGAATTCATCAGGTACCCTATTCCCCAGGGAAACAAGGAAACCTTCGCAGTGGGGAAACCCTGTGAAGTCACCCAGCTCATGTGCTCTCACACCCATCATAACAGCCAGCTTGAAAGTGGCTCTACCCACTGGTGATATCCTGGCACAGCTGCCCAGCCACCTCTGGTCCAATAGCTGGCCTAGAGATGTCTCACCTCCCTCTCCCCGCAGAGAAAGCACCACGTAACCACTCAGGCCCCCCTCCACACACCCTTGGCCTGACAGCTTGACTGGAGGTGGCCCAGAAAGAGCCCCATGCAGCCACGCAGCACACCACACCACAACTCAACAGCCAGTGCAGCAGTGGCTCCACCTGCCTGGAAAGCCCACCAAACAGCCTGCTGGCCCACCACACCCACACATGCTTAGGCTGACAAGCAACCTGGCACCCCCACTGCCAGCAAACCTGCACCACTGCATCACAAATTCCTACAGCCTAGGCCATTGAGAAAATTGCAGATACCACAGATGAGGATCACAGTTGAAAAATCTGTATAGAGACCATGTTACTGAATCCACCCAGAACCAAAGTCAACATACCATTCCTGACCAACACCTCAAGATCCATCTGCAGGGAAAAGGCTCTTCCTACGAAAGTTAATCCATAAAATTACAAAAATGACTGTTTTACTAGATGCACAGACATCAACATAGGGATACAAGAAACATGAAACAGCAAGGAAATATTGTACCCCTAAAGGAGCATAATGAGTCTTCATTAACTGACCCCAAAGAAAAGAATATTTATGAAATGCCCAAAAAGCAATTCAAAATAATGATTTTAAGGAAACTCAGTAAGATACAAAAGAATACAGACAAACAAGTCAATGAAATCAGGAAAACAATTCATAAGCTGAATTAGAAATTCAATAAAGAGACAGATATATAAAAAAGAACCAAATAAATCTTAGAGCTAATGAATTCAATGAATGAATTAAAAAATACAATTAAGAGCTTCAACAACAGACCAGATCAAGCAGAAGAAAGAATTTCTGAACTTGAAGGCAAGCCTTTTGAAATAACCCAGTCGGAAGGGAAAAAAGAAATAAGAATTAATAAGAACAAAGAAAGCACATGGGACTTATGGGACACCATTAAGGGAACAAATATTTGCATTATAGGACTTCAGAAAGAGAAGAAACGGAGAAAGGCACGGGAAATTGATTTAACCACAACAACAATACTCTCTAAGTCTTGGGAGAGATGTAGACATCCATATTCAGGAAGGTCAAATGTCTTTAGTGAGATTCAACTCCCAAAAATCCTCTCTGAGGCACATTACAAACAAACTGCCAAAAGTCAAAGACAGAATTCTAAAAGCTTCAAGAGAAAAACATCAAGTTACATATAAGTTACATGTAAGAGTATCTCCATTAGACTACCAGCAGATTTTTTTTTAGCAGAAACCTTGCAGGCCAGGAGAGAATGAAATGATCTATTCAAAGTGTTGAAAGAAGAACAAGCTGTCAACCAGCTAGGAATACTATTTCCAGCAAAGCTGGTTTTCAGAAATGAAGAAGAAATAAAGGTCTTCCCAGACAAGCAAAAACTGAGAGAATTCATTGAGAAATCCTTATGGAATTGCTATAGCTGGAAACAGAAAGACAATAATTACCATGATGAAAACATGTGAAAATACAAAACCAGTCTGGGTAAATCCATAGTCATACTCTGAATACCCTAGTCCTGTAATGGTGTTATGAAAATCTTTCAGTTCTCTAGTATGAAGGTTTAAAGCCAAAAAAAGTCAAAAACATCAACAACTGCAATTAGTAGCTGAGGAACATACAAAAGATATAGATGTAAATTAAGGCAACCAAAACACAAATTGGGGGTGAAGGAAAAATGTAAAGTACTTTAATGCAACTAAAGTTAAGTTGTTTTAAGCTTGAAATAGTCTATTATAACTGTTTATGCTACCCCCATGGTAACCACAAAGAAAGAAATTACAACAGATACACAAATAAACATGAGAAAAGAAACAAAGCTTAGCACCACAGAAACCCACTAAACCACACATGTAAACAAGCAAGGAAGAAAGAAACAAAGGATCTTCAAAATAACCAGGAAACAATTAACGAAATGGCAGAAAACGTTACCTATCAATAACAACCTTGAATGTAAATGGATTAAATGCTCTAACTTAAAAAAATAGAGTGGCTGAATGGATTAAAAAAAAACAAGATCCAACTATATGGTGCCTAAAAGAAACTCACTTCGCCATTAAAGACAAACACAGACTGAAAGTGAAGAGGTAGAAAAACATATCCCATGCAAACGGAAACCAAAGGCAAGCAGGAGCAGCCATTCTTACATCAGATGAAATAGACTTGAAATCCAAAACTGTAAAAAGAAGGTCATTATACAATGATAAAGGGGTCACTTCAATAAGAGGATATAACAATTATAAATATGTATGCACCCAACACTGGAGCATCTAAATATATAAAGCAAATATTATTATATCAATATTAGAGATAGACTGCAATACAATGGTAGAAGGGGTCTTCAACACCCCACTTTCAACAACAGACAGATCACCCAGACAGACAATCAACAAAGAAAAGCTGGACTTAGACTGCACCATAGACCAAATGGACCTAACAGATAATTACGGAACATTCCATCCAAGAGATGCAGAATACACATTCTTCTCAATTGCACATGGAACATTCCCCAGTTAGATCACATGTCAGGTCACAAAACAAGTCTTAACAAATTTAAAAAGATAATGTAACATGTATCTTTTCACACCACCATGGAGTAAAACTAGAAATCAACCAGAAAATCTTTGAAAACCTTACAAATACATGAACATTAAACAACATGCTTCTACATAACCAGTAGAAGAAATTAAAAGGGAAATTTTAAAATTCCTTCAGACAAGCAAGAATGGTTAATAGGTTTTTTGGTGCTTTTCTCCATTACCTCCTGTAACTCCTACTTCAAAAAACAAGAAAGATTTCTAATAAATAATTTAACCATGAACCTCAAGAACAAACTAAACCCAAAATTGGTAGAAGGAAGGAAATAATAAAGCTCAGAGTAGAAATGAACGAAAGACACACACACACACAAATTAAAGATCAAAAAATAAAGAGTTCGTGTTTTGAAACGGCGAACAAAAGTGACAAACTTTAGGTACACTAACTAAGAAAAAAAAAGAGAAAAGACTCAAATAAAATCAGGTATGAAAAAGGAGACATGACAACTGATAAACAGAAAAAGACTATTATGAACAACTATACAATAAATTTAAGGACACAGAAGAAATGGATAAATTCCTGGACATATACAACCTACCAAGATTAAATTATGAAAAGACAGGAAATCTGAAAAGATCGATAGCATGTAAGGAAGTTGAATCAGTAATAAAATGTCTTTAATCAAAATAAAACCCAGGACCAGATGGCTTCACTGCTCTATTCTACAAACAATTTAAAGAAGAACCAATACCAATTCTCTTTAAACTATTCCAGAAAATTGAAGAAGGGGAAACACTTCTAAATTCATTTTACAAGACCAGCATTATCCTGATTCCAAAACCAGACAAGGATACAACAGAAAAAGAAAACTATAAGCCAATATTTCTGATGAACATAGATGCAAAAATTCTCAAAAACACACTAGCAAACTGAATTCAATAGCATATTATAAAGATTATTCACTAATATCAAATGAGATTCATCCCAGGGATGGAAGGATGATTCAACATATGTAAATCAATACATGTGACACACCACATGAACAAAAAGAAAGACAAAAATCATATGATCATTTCAAAAGATGCAGAAAAAGCAACTGACAAAATTCAACATTCCTTCATGATAATAACTGTCAACAAATTAAGTATAGAAGGTATGTACCATAACACAATAAAGGTCATATATGACAAAGCCACAGCTAACATTATACTGGATAATGTATACTGAATAGTAGAAATTATATTAACATTATACTGAGCAAAGCTTTCACCTTTTCCTCTAAGAACAGAAACAAAGTAAGGATGCCCACCTTCACCACCCTAATCAACATAGGGAATCCTAGCCAGAGTAATTAGGCAAGAGAAAAAAATAAAGGGCATCCAAATTGGAAAGAAGGAAATCATATTGTCCCTGTTTGCAATGACACAATCTTACATACAGAAAACTCTAAAGACTCTACCAAAAAACTCTTAGAACTAATTAATTCAGTAAAGTCAGAGGACACAAAAAATCAAAATTCAAAAATCAGTAGCATTTCCGTATGCTAACTACAAACTATCTGAAAAAGAAATCGAGAAAATTATTCCAATTACAATAGTATACACAAACTAAAATAAGATACCTAGGAATAAACTTAAGTAAGGAGGTAAAAGATCTCTACATTGAAAACTTTAAAAACAATGGAATAATATCCCATGTTCATAGATTGGAAGAATTAATATTGTTAAAATGGCCATGCAAGCCAAAGCAATTTACAGATTTAATGCAGTTCTTATCAAAATAATAATGACATTATTCACAGAAACTGAAAAAATAATCCTAAAATTCATATGGAACCACAAAAGACCCAAAATAGCCACAGTAATCCTGAGCAAAAAGAAGCATCACACTACCTGACTTCAAAATATACTACACATCTGCAGTAACCAAAGCAGCATGCTACTGGCATGAAACAGACACACAGGCCAATGGAACAGAATAGAGAGGCCAGAAATGAATTCACACACCACCTGGCAACAAAGCTGCCAGGAACACATATTGAGGAAAAGACAATCTCTTCAATAAATAAT